CATGTAAACTTGTACCTTTTGGTTCATCATTCCAGTGCTCTTGCTATTGCTTCATTACTTCACGATAAACAAACCAGTTAAAGTCTATGTTTCCTTTACTGACGGATTTGTTTGCGAGTTTATCTGCTTTCTCATTTCCTGGAATTCCTACATGAATATTGTGTTTTTCCCTTGACTAATTAGCCATGAAGCGACTTACAGTACTCCATAAAAAACATGTGGTTATTGGTTACTCCTGTAAAAGCTGAATGTTGAAGCTGAATCACCACATGAGTATTTTGTTCTCTGTCACTTCCTCTGTCTGCTCCAGAGCTAAAACTACTGCACATCTTTACCTCACAGTCAGAGCACAAACCGCTCCTTAAGAACCAAAAGCTGATGACTGAATGTGCTGAATGTAGCACAGGTGTGAAGAACCGTGGCCATTTTATTAGGTTCAACTTTTTAACATAAATATATATTCAGCCAATCACTTGGTGCATTTAAGCATGCAAACGAGGTCAAAACAACCTACTGAAGTCCAAACCAATCATAAGAATGGAAAAGGAAGGTGATTTAAGTATTTTGAACAAGGCTGCTCAGAGTATTTCAGAAAATGCTGATCTTCTCAGATGTTCCTACAAAAACCATCTCTGGGGTTGAACCTTGAATCAGATGGGTTACAGCAGCAGAAGAGCACACTGCGTACCACCCAGTCAGCTGAGAACAGGAAGGCTACAATTCACACAGACTCACTAAAAGTGAACAGCAGAAAACTGAGAAAACATTGGCTGACCTGATGAGTCCTACTTCAGATGCTAGGGTCATAAACATCTTGAGAGTACGGATCCATCCCGCCTCGTATCAGCAGTTCAGGCTGCTGGCAATGACGTGGCACACATCTCAAACTGGTTTCCTGACCATTTCACTGTACTCACACGACCTCCACCGTCACAGATCTCCAACAGAGCATCTTTGGCAAATCTCCAGCATCTGTATGACACAGTCATGTCCATATGGACCAGAATCTCAGAGGAATGTTGAAAGCAGAATGAAGTGGACACTGAGTGTATGGGTGCAGTTATTTTTAAGCATTAAATAACTTTAATTTTGATGGTCACTGAGACAAACAGAACAGGATGTATAGATTCAGCAGTGAAATCTGAGTAAAAACACTGAGGCACAGAGAGGATTTTCCACTTCAGCACAGAAAGGCCCGAACCAACAAACCTACAACCTTCCCTCTCTGTGGAAGAGTAAAAAGCTATTTTAAGGTAAATAAAGCTGTGCAAAATACTGGGTGCTGAACTTGAAACTAATTTTCTGGGTGAACTGAAAATTAGTGACCAATCGGCACACAATGTTCTCCCAGCTTTGATGAAATCTCCCTCAACACAGCATGTTTTCACTGTTTAACCAACAGCCCTTTGCTAGTAGTAATAGTAGTAGTTCTTTTTTTAAACAATTATCATTAAAGTTCATCACTCTATCAATTCATCACATGAAACCGACTATTTTCGCACTTTTGGTTGCACAACTTTCACTTCCTCCTATACAGGGCAGCCCCTGGATGGGGAACAAGTAACAGTCTATGATTCAGCCTGTGCTGCTGTATATTACTGTAGAAGTACCTATCTAGACTACATTACTAACATCTGCCTGTTTGATGTTTTACGGGAATTTTCCACAGAGGGGGAACCAAATTTTTTTAATTTATAATATTTCATAAAATTATTGCCAAGCCTCATCAATCCCAGCTCTTCTCCTGTGCTCATCTCTGCATGTAAGCCTGTTAATATTAATCAGGTCAATATTATACCAGCAGCGTAACCGTGTTGGACTCTTCTGCTAAATATTTCATTACTTTGAATTATTAGATTCTACGGAGGGAAATGTGACCGCATACTGCAAGAGACATCTTTGAGGCTGCTTTCAGGCTGACACCAAATTCACACATGCAAAGTGTCAGCGACACATTTTTAGACGCATGGCTGAGCAAAGCCTTGAATAGCTGCTGCAACATCTCCTTCCTGCCCTTGATGTAAAGTGAGATTATCATTTAAAGCCGTCCTCCACTCCTTAACCTGTGATCCAGTTTGCAGCAGGCTATTTTATTTCTAGGAAGAGAACGGCTAAATAAAATCACGGCTGGACACAGTGAAGCAACGAGAAATCTGCTGACCCTGTGTGCGGTAGAGCCGCATCAGCTGGCTTAACACAGATATGGTAGCTGAAAAGTTTGTCGTGCACAGTGAGGTTTGGTGATAAAGCTGCAGAAACGTTGTGAGAGGCTTTTAGGCTCAAATGTGTACCATTAGCAAAGGACAGAAAATGCCTGTGAGGTGACCGGAGCTGTTTTCTGCTCTTTCAGCACAGTAACAAATTTGGAGCTTCAGGAAAACAACAGAGCTGGGTTTGGTGTTTAATGTGTGCACAGTGAAGGCTAATTAAGTAGAACTCGTGCACACTTAGGTGTAGAGCAACACTTGATTAATATGGAGTTTTAAAGCCAGAGATATTATTATTTAAATCACAGAGTCAGAGTTACTCGTGCTGAAATTAGTCTGCGTAGCAAGCAGTAGCGGTTTTTTGATGCGGGCGACACGGGCGGTTGCCCGGGGCGGCATCACGGGCATCGTGAAAAAAAAATGCTCGTACTCATGCTGCCCCGACATCACGCCAGCGCATATTGGGAATGGCAGAGGCACCGATCGGTTTTTTATCGCCCATTTGCTGGGAGTAAGGGCGCCCTCCGTTTGCGAGGTGCGCCTGCTGCTTGCTGCACAGGGAGGAGAGGACGGAGCGGCATCTAATAACCAACTCGCAAAATAAAACAAAATAAAAACAAACCAACAAACACGAAAACACCAGACATCATGATACAGACTTATAATTTGCAGACTTATAATATTTTTTTTCGACATTCTGTACGCGAAAAGTGAGCGCGAGAGCCCTCGGTGCGCCTGCTCGCTGCTGAAGTCAAAGTAAACTTTATTGTCATCTCCGCTACATACAGTGCAGTATATAGAGAGACGAGACGACGAGGCTGCAGTTACAGCAGTAAACAAACAATAAATATAAGAAGAGTAAGAAAATAAATATACACTTTAGGACTCGGGGTAAAGGATCAATAACAATTTAAATTTATAATTTACAGTTTGATGATTTAAAGTCTCACACACAACCCGTCGAAAGGGGGCCGGCTGCTTCCAAATAGAGCACATTTCATTCATAATGTTGTAAATCCAAGCCCATCATGTATTCATGATTTGAATCCTGGGTTGTGTGAAATCCCAGAAATAAACCTTAGACAAAGCGAATCTGTGAACTAAGGTGTAGGTCTGTTAGGTTTTGTTGTGGTGATCCTCGGGTTGGGGGATGGGTGTTCATACTGGAGTGCAAAATGAAAACCAGTGGAAGATGGACAAGAAAAGTTCAAAGCCATCTGGTGCTCAGTTTAGAAAAAGAGAAAAGAAGAGGAGGAGAAACGAGCAAAAGATGCAGGTAAGCAGATGTGTGATTGGATAATGGCAGGTCATCCTGAAACAATCAGAATCAGAATACTTTATTAATCCCTGAGGAAATTATGTGGGTTACAGTTGCTCCAAGAAGAAATGGTAAAAATAGTAACAGTAACAGACTAAACTCCAAACAGTACATTATGTTACAGATTGGAATATTAATTAGACATTGTCAATTGTTGATTTGTCCTGTTCTCATTGCATGACGAATTATGATGGCTGTTTGCATACTATGCATACTCTCTCTCTTCGTGTGTGTGTGTGTGTGTGTGTGTGTGTGTGTGTGTGTGTGTGTGTGTGTGTGTGTGTGTGTGTGTGTGTGTGTGTGTGCGCATGTTTCTCTGGTGAAATTCAGTATGGTTCTGACAACAGTTTTATGTGGGGGGGCGCCAGAGACAGTGTTCGCCCACGGCGCCAAACAGGCTAGGACCGCCACTGGTAGCAAGGCTATAAATTGGTCAAGGGTTAGAGAGACAGTCTTCTGAAGTCTGTTCTATTAAACATGCAAAAGATTTCGACCTTTGTCTTAAACGTTTTCCCTGATGTCATGAAGAGCACCTTAAACTGGAACAGCAGAGAGGTCATATTTTTGGTTGTGTTGCTTTTTACCTCGCCGCTGTGCAACAGGAAGCAGCATTTCGGATGTAACCTAGTTGTCCAAGCGCAACTTAAAACCAAAAGAAGGGCACTGCCAGCCAACAATACCTCAGCTTTATTCATAGCAGTCAGTATTAACAGAAAACAAAGTGCAAACCCATACAAACCACATACGGTCAGTTTGTACAGCACTGTTTTACCATTTAGAGGAGTTGTTTTTTTATGAAATAAAACAAAACCGGATGATAAAATATATGTTGTTGAATTTTTCTTTTTTTTGTCCTTTGTATCATGTTTTTAATTTAATTTTAATTTCAGCTGAACTAGAAATTCAATAAAGGCTTTTTTTAAACAATTATTATTATTACTATTATTTATGCATTTATTTATTTGTTAGCCAGAAATGTTACTTATACCGTAATATGAGGTGTATAAGCTTGACCTGTTGGTGCTGTACACTCTTTTCTGTCACTGATATCTTTAGTTAGACTAAATGTATAATATATATGCAAACAGAGCTTTAGAAATGCATACTGATTAAATATGTTCTGCTCTTCTAATGCTTAAAAATCAATTCAGCTACATGAGCACAATGCATTAGATTTAATAATTAATGTTAAGGTTGAATAATAAATAGGAAATGATTTAAATTTAAGTTCATGCAGCTTATTTATTTATTTACTACCTTTGGTAAATGTATTCACAAAGGAACGTTTAGATGTTGTTAAATATATAATTTTTTAATTGTTTAACAAACGGAAATTAAAAAAAAAATTAATTAGCAAGACCACTTCAGAAAAACAAGTAACTGAAGATAATAATAACAAAAATTCACGTCAAATCAATGAGCCTTCTAACTTTACCGTCGTGAAACTGTCGTGAAACGCCATGACGACAGCTAAATCGCTTTCCGGTCACTGTTATGTCTCCATGCCGTGCAGCTGTCCTTGGAAAGTGTCTCGTGTGCGGCTCGTGGGAAAGATGCGGAGAACAGGTGAGTGTCCACCGGAGCGGAAACTGAAGCAAGTGTTTCAGACGCGCTCGTGCTAAATGGAGAGAAGCGGACTCGTTTACGGCTCTGTGTGTAAGGGTTAAGGCTGCTGACGTCATGCGCAGTAAAAGCATCATTAACAGGCTCGTCGTTGTTGCCGTTTGCAGTGAAGTACTTCACGTTTCATCAGTGACAGCCTGCCTGTGTGTGCTTCAGAAGCTGTTGGTGTGTCTCCGACGACACGACCGCGGGCAGGTGTGAGGCAGGTTGTAGGGTTAGCTCGGTTTAATTCATCTGTTTGTTCACAGCGAGTCCTGAGTGAAGACAAGACTGACTATGATTAAGTTTGACCCCAAACTACAAAACAAGTTAGTCTGACTCGTCAGCGAGTTAAAAAAAAAAAAGTGCAGAACTGCTTCTTTAAAGTCCATGAATGATGACGTCATTATCACGGTTGCGGATTTGACTCGATCCTGAACACTAAGGTTGTTATTTGGGACTGTCACCACATCAGGTTGTCTCTGTGTGACTGTAAGTATTCATTTTAATGAGGTACTACAATACTGCATGTACTACTATACTACTACAGACCATAGAAGAAGAATTGTGCTGTCTCTCATCTTTCATTCAGGTAAACAACACTTATGATAGATACTTTATCGATCTCTCAAGGGAAACTACTACATTACAGCAGCATGTTACTCAATAAACATACTTTTAAAATGTAGAGATTTAAAACAATAAACTTATAAATAAAAATGATATTCAGTTAAAGAAGTGTAAATAATAAGACTAATAATAAGAGAGCAGGTGTGATGAGTTGTCCATGATGGAGAGCAGTTTGTTCGATGACCTCCAACCCTCGCTGACTCAGACGCCTCCAGATTCTGGCCAATGATGTTCCAGCCTGTGGATCAGTTTGTTGATCCTGCTGGCATCTCTTGCTCTGATGCGGCCCCCCTCCCAGCAGACAACAGCAAAGTAAATGTCCCGCGCCACCGCAGACTGGTAGATGGTCTCCAACATCCTGCTGCACACTTTAAAGGATCTGAGCTTCCTACAGTAACTCCACTAAGGTTTAAATGTTTCCATGTTACAAAATACAGAAGAGATGGAAGTGACCAGCCAATCACAGCCTGAGGCTTCAAGTTTAGTTGATTTTCAGCTTGTTGTGTGATTCTAAGGCAGCTCAAGTTCATTTAACTAACATGTTTTAGGTTGTAGTACACTGTGATAACCACGTCGTGTGCACTGATGTTGCGTTAGCCCGCATGATGAGCCCTAACCTCGAATGAGATCGTGCTATGTGACATGTTAATGACATGTTAAGTTCCTGGGGGAGGATGAGTCAGCACAGTGTCACAGTTTTTATATATCTGTGACATGCAGCTTGTTTTCATGGATGTATCGTCTGTCCTCTTCACAGATGTCACCAACTGAAGCTTGCTGCTGAAAACAACACGGGAGCCAAAAAAAGGAAGAAAATAAAAGCCATGGCGTCTCGTTTCCTGAAGTACTCCGTGCTTCTCCAGAAGTACCGCACTCCGCTGCTCATTGCGAGCTGCGGTGGAGTCTTCGCCGCCAACATGTTCTACCACGTTTTCCCTGACGTCTCCTACCGTCAGCTCTATCAGGCCTGGCACCGGGGGGAGCCGGTCGTGCTGTCGGAAAAGCTGGAAAATCTTTTTCAGCAGGTTTTAATTTATCTTATTTTTTCAAGATCACACTTCAGATATGTTTAAAAGACTTCAGCTGTAATATGCATGTGATTGTCGCTGGAATGATGCATAAATATTTTTAGTTGCTGATGAGAGGAAAATAGCAGTAAAGATAGACGCAGGCGTCTTAGATTAATAACCATCATTATACACAAATCGAAACAAATTGTTCACAAAACATGAAATTTGTTCTTTCATGAATTTCATAAAATTCACATTTCTGCTTTGTCATTTGTAGGTGCTGAAGGACTATGGCGTCAGCTCACCCAAGAATGTCTCGGCCTTTGCGTCCTTTGGCTTCCATCCGGTTGGCGCTGGCGTCCCGTGGCTTCCTGCGGGGGCCCAAATCGGCATCCCGGCTAACTTCAACAGCACCGCCGACGACCCGAGTGGAATTACCAATCGCAACATTTTCATCAACGGCAAAACGGTGGACTGGAGCAGTGAGTCCGGTTCGACTCTAAAGGAGGCGCTTGTGTTTTCCCTCGATGCGCAGAAGTTCGCCATAGCGCGCGAGGTGGCCCGCTTGCAGTCCGGGGGACCCGTCATGAGCGCTGCTGTCGCTCCGTTCTGCCTGGGAGGGGTTTGGGTGTACAGCGTGGTGCTGAAGCAGGTTTTCGGGCTGTACGGCGGGCCTGCGCTGCTACGCGGGGCTGTGAACATCATTGCGCTTGGCATTGGTGCTGTTTCCTACTTCCTCACCTCGGACGCCGTCAGCCAGTGGCTTGACTATAGCTCGGACCGACGTGCGGCCGGAGTGTCCCGCGATTACGCCAAAGGAGGGGTGGAGTTTTACGATAAAATTCTGTCCAGAAACAAAACGCTGCGCTCGCTGATGGGGCAGAAGGGAGAGGATATGTACGCTCCCAGTGGGAACTTGTTTCCTGCTCACGTCTTTCAGCTGAAACACACGCCGTACACCTCCAGGAGGGAGCAGATCCTCGCTCTGCTGAAAGAGGAGAAAGTATGAGAGGAGGGCTAGCGATGGGAACTAAACTAGCAAGACTTTGCATGTTTTTTCTTAAAATTATGTCATCACGGATGTGCTGAATGTAATTTGTAATCAGCAAAGTCCTGAGGGGTCGTGTATTTGCTGACTTTATGCAACAACGATGGCGTGTAGGGCACAGTGTACCAATAAACTGTTTCCCTGCCTGTGTTTGTGGTCATATGTGTGATCAGTCGTATTAGTCAGATGCTGATAAGTGCTATTCCTGTTTCTCTCACCCAGGTGAGAGAAACAGGAATGTACATGCATGCATTTGTATTTTTGTTTCTATAATATGCTCTGGATAGATTTAGACTGTGGGCTGCTGACAGGTTATGCCTCTCTCTGTAAAACAGAACATTTTAAGCACATAATCAGTGCATGTGCAGATTAGTTTCTCCCATGTGCAATAAATGCCTCGACATAGCAACAGGTATTACAGGAAAAGCCATAAAGTCTTTGAATGAAAACAAACGCTGCTGTGACAGTGATGTACTGTCTTGTTGGTATATGTATGATTTCTATACATTTTACATCAGATAAAAACTTTGGTTGTAAGATTCAGATAATTATTTTTTAAAAGCGAGACATTTTAAATGAGAATAAGAAAGAAAAGTGCTTCTTTGTGCCCCCCTCTCCCTGTTAATGCCCTACCTGCCCCCCTGGCAAAACTTTGCAAGACCCGCACAGTTTATAGCTGATGTTTGCTGGAGCTGTGGCTCCAGCAAACATCAGCTGATACTAGAAATTAATAGCAAATAAATTCTAACAACAGCTGATCAAGCTTAAACGTGCTGCTGTTGTTTAGCAGCTGTAAAGCTGCTGGTCATGATGTCGGTTTGGATATGTGGTGAGAGGGAAACATGAAGATGAAACCAGGAGATGTCCTTACTGAATCATCAGAGCTAAACAGGTGATGGAGAAACAGGTTTACCTTTTAGGTGACATGAATGAGTTGAAGTTATGAACTGTTTCTGAGAGACAAATAACACCAGGATCCTTTTCTAAGTAGCTGACAGCTGGTAACTGTGCAGGGGCGGGTCTAGCAAAGTGTTGCCAGGGGGGCATGTAGGGCATTAACAGGGAAAGGGGGGCACAAAGAAATACTTTTCTTTCTTATTCTCGTTTAAAATGTCTCGCTTTTAAAAAATAATTATCTGAGTCTTACAACAAACGATTGATAGATTGATGCATATATACCATCAGAACAGTGTACATCACTGTCACAATAGTGTTTGTTTTCATTCAAAGACTTTATGATTTTTCCTATAATGGTGGGCCGGTCTCTAGTCAAAATGCCCGGGCCGATTTTCTGTCCCAGTCCAGCTCTGTATGCAGCTCATCTGCAGTCTGGTGTTACCTACATCTTCCTATTCAGAAGGCAGAATTTCCGAGTTTCTGAGTACAATCAAAAGCACCACGACTGCAGTTTTTGTGTTGGATGTAAAAAGCACACATGACACTGTGACGTAGGTTAGAATCATGGCAGCAGTCAATGATGGTCCAGGCGTGGGATTTCTCTCGTGGAAATATGCACATTATCTTTTTCTTTCTATTGGTAGGTGGCACAGTGCACTGTGGCACGTAAGCAAGCTAGAAGACTGGCAAAGTTATGGAAACAACACATTAACAAGAGAAGTCCTGAGTAAAACCAAAGTTACTTTCCCTAGTAACTAGTTACTTTGAAAGTAACAAGTAACTTGAAGTAACTGAGTTACTTTTGATAGAAGTAACTAGTAATGTAACTAAGTAACTTACCCAACACTGCGTGCACAAATGGAACAAGGCAGTCCTACACATTTGTGTAATGTGTGCATTGAAGGACAAATCCTGGTCGAGAACGACTCCATGATTCCTCACAGTGTTACTGGAGGCCAGGGTAATGCCATCCATGTTCTGAGATGTTTAGCTAAGTACAATAACCTCAGTTTTATCTGAATTTAGAAGCAGAAAATTCAATCGTCCAGGTATTTGTCTTTATGATATGCCCACAGTTTAACCGCTCGATTCAGCATGGATAAACCAACATTGGTATCGTCTGCATAGCAGTGAAAATGTATGCAGGTTTTCTAATAATGTTACCAAAGGGAAGCGTGTACAATGTAAACATTATTGGTACAGCAGTGCCCTCTGTTGGCCAAATATGAACAAAGGACAACCCCACAATAAAGAAGTCCATGTGCAAGGCAAGGTCCACATTTCAGCAGCTTTGGGAAAGATTGTTATGCGGAGTTTCCAGCAGAGGTTAGGGTGTTTTCCATGGGAGGACATCATGGCTGATAAAACCTCTGAGCAATCACTGCCGATTCTCTTGCTGTCTGCTCTCCTCTGGCCAGTGATTCCAATTTTAGGCAAAGCAGTTTTTTTCCTTAGAAATGCATGGAGTCTGTTTCAGATTAGAAGCTCACAGCATCTCACTGGAAAAGGGGATGTCATTAAAGTGTTGGCTCGCCACCTGCTTCTGTAGCGAGAGTACAGAGCAGGTGAAAGAGAGCCTGGAGAGGTGGAGGTTTGCCCTGGAGAGAAGGCGAGTGAGAGTCAGGAGAAGGAAGACAGAATACATGCGAGTGTGAATGAGAGGAAAACTGGTAACAATGTGAAAAAGTTGAAAATTGAAATTCTTGAAAATGTCTTAAAAGTAAAAAATATGTCAAGTGGGTGGAGACGAGCGTCAGAGGTGAACTGTGACAGGTGGAGAGCAGTGGGAGTGAAAGGGAAGGTTTACGAGGTGTTACTGAGACCTGCTGTGATGTGTGGCAGGGACAAAAAGACAGGAGGCCGAGCTGAAGATGCTGGACAAGATTAGAAAGACATCAATCAGATCAAGTTCAGTGTTTTGGAGACACAATTAGAGATGCAAGGTTGAGATGGTGCAGAGGAGGGAGAGTGGATACACCGGGCAAAGGATGCTGAAGATGGAGGCAGGAGAAAAAGAGCGAGACGATGCCAGAGGTTCATGCATAGGTATGATGGAGGAGGTTGCTGAGATAGGGTGATGGAGCAGCTGAAAGGAGAAGAAGAAGGGTCACCATCTGCTGCTGCCTTTGTGCCTTCAAATGGAATCTGAAAGTCTCAAACTCTATTTTAGGGATTCTTCCAAAAAGAAAACACCTGATTTAATGTCACGATGATAAAGATGGAGAGTCCAAAATCTGCCAAAGCTGACTGCAAAAGCCATATAATGCATAAAACCTGACATGAGTCATTCTCATCAAACCATTCAGTGACCTCTTAATCAACAGGAATGCTTCACCGCCACATAAAAGCATTGATTGTACACAGAGATCCTTAAACCTGTAAGGGGACAATTACACCTCCCAGTTCAGAATAAATAACTCCTAATGGCTTTAAAGAGAGGGCTACTGTAAGGATCCACAATTTGCGCAACTAAACTGTTTGGTGATAATAATCTTAATACAGCTTACGGTGACTCAGGACTCATCACATGCTCACTCAGATTCCCTCAGGTCATCTGTCTGCATATTAACAAAGTTCACATATAACGTTTTAATTACACTTCCAATCTTATGCCCCATGGACTGAGCTAAATATAGAAGCATGCAATTAATCGTGTTGTAGATAGATGTGCAGACAGATTTGTTGTTGTTTTTTAACATCGCTGTCCTTCAGTGACACAGAAGTCTGTTTCACCGTTGAGTGAATGGGATCGTGAGCAGGTGCATGCTCTGATAAAATCCAGACATAAGATGCGTGAAGATGGGAGAAGTGGTGAGGCAGAACGAAAGCGTGGCTGCATTCTTCTCAAAAACATCCACCATCCTCGGTGCATTAGTGCCCTTGAGCAACATGCTGAATTTGCTCCAGCTCTGTGGTTATGCAGCACATTGTGGGCGTTGACATGCCGCAGTATTTATTGGGAAATGTTCTAGCAAATACACATGATATAAATGTGTTTTTGTTTGTTCTCCATCAGTTCATACGATGCTGGAAAAATGATGAAGTTCAAAAGAAGGCAGGAGAGTACTGAAAACGAGACAAGAAGCTTTGACAATTCTGCTCCACTCCATCAACGACAAAGCAGCTTTTGAATTATGCAGATCAACAACACTGGGGTCATTGTCTTCTTCTTACTACTGCGCTTCATCAGCTTACCTCATTGTGTTCCCCACAGAATTATCCCAACAATGGTCCATTGTTTGCCACAGCGTGGCTTGTTTCTTTTGCTAACCACTTGAGGGCGGTATAACCCAGATTACCAACCTACTGTCTTTTAGAAACAAAGGATGGGAAACAGATTGATGAATTGATGAATGGGCAGCCTTGGATTTGAAATGAAAGAGAACATTTACTTTTATTCTGAAAAGCACAGCTTTTTGTCTCCAGCAGAGAGATACAGAGCTCCCTGCAGAGCAAACATGGAAGGTGGAAAAGCTTTGTTTGTGTTTGTTTGTGTGCAAGTTAAGGGGTCGGGCACTTACTCCTGGTGCAATTTATCAGTATGTATACAGAAAAATAGAGACATCAAATGCATTTCAGGTATGCAGAACCACCTATATATCCATCCATCCATCTTCATCCGCTTTATCCGAGGCCGGGTCGCGGGGGCAGCAGCCTAAGCAAAGAGGCCCAGACCTCCCTCTCCCCAGCCACCTCCTCCAGCTTATCCGGGGGAACACCAAGGCGTTCCCAGGCTAGCCGAGAGATATAATCTCTCCAGCGTGTCCTGGGTCTGCCCCGGGGCCTCCTCCCGGTGGGACATGCCTGGAACACCTCACCCAGGAGGCGCCCAGGGGGCATCCTTGTCAGATGCCCGAACCACCTCAGCTGGCTCCTATATATATATATATATATATATATATATATATATATATATATATATATATATATATATATATATATATATATAATCACCCTATCTCTCCCTTAGATATATATAATTTTTTTTATTTATTTATTTATTTTAATGCAATATAAAACTCTGCATTTAAACATTGGTTATTATTAATTTCTGGCTCTCTTCCACAATGTGTCTTTTGTCCTGTCCCCCTCTCTGAGCCTGGTTCTGCCAGACGTTTCTTCCTGATAAAGGTGAGCTTTTCCTTCCCACTGTCGCCAGCTGCCCAGTCATCTGACTGTTGGGCTTTTCTTTGTATTATTGTAGGGTCTTTACCTTACAATGTAAAGGGCCTTGAGGTGACTTTTAGTG